GTCGACAGGCTCAGAGGCTGACGGCGCGTTCCCTCTCCATATCGTCGACAGTTGAGCTTGAGCTTCAGGACCTGGGGGTGCAGCTTGAGCGTGAGAGCTCGAGCCCTTAGCCAAGCCTGGCCAGCCTCGAGTGCTGCTGCAGGTCTAGCCTCATCGTCAAGCTTCGGCTCCATCATCAGCATCATCACCAGCCCCTCCATCACCTTGAAGCGCAAGCCCCTGAGCATCGGTCAGGCCTCATCGAGGAGACGATCCTGGCAGGCAGTAAAGCGGGTGGTCAGCAGCAGCAATGCTGACAGCTGGTCATTGGTGCTGACGGCACTTTCAGATATCACTTCCCTTTTACCACACCTCTTTACTACCCGCCCCCCTCTATTTTACCCTCCGCCTCCATCTGAGCGACAAGATCAGCATGCAAGACTGCTTCCTCCACCATCAGACTCCCCCAGCCATCGACCCGGCAGCACTCGACGAGTCGGTGGACGAGGCTGTCGCCCGCCTGGCGGCCAGCCAGCCAGCCTTCGCCGACCCCTTCCTCCAAGACAGCCAGGCCCTACACGCCCATCCCCTCCTCGAGCACTGGCAGTGGGACCCGCCTGGCGAGGGCGTCAAGAGCGACGCGAGCGCGGGGAAGGAGGAGGGCGGGGGAGGGTCGGGGTCTGTATAGCTTCGACCATGTAGATCACAATTCGGATTTCAGGCGTCACCCCTGGACCGAGGAGGAGGAGGCGCGCTTCCGGATCGCGCTGGAGATGTTCGGGCCCAAGGAGCGGAGCTTGGTGACGCAGGGCAGGATCCCCGTGGGGCTAGGGGCGGGGGCGGCGAGGAGCATGGCGAGCTTCATCGGGACGAGGTCGGTCCAGCAGGTCAGGTCGCACGCCCAGAAGCACTTCATCAAGCTCGTCTCCTCCCCCGGCGAGGCGGAGGCGTCAGGGCCAGACGTCCAAGGCCATGCCGACGCATCGACATCTCGAGCAGCCGCGGGAGGCAGGGGAGGAGGAGGGCGGCGGCGACGAGACGACACCCAGGAGGCGTCACAGCAGCAGGAAATGAAAGGAGGGAAGTAGTGACGGCAGCCTCGTGACAGCTGCTGGAGCCACCTGCAGGCTCAGCGGTATGTTTGTCAACGGATGGAGCCTCAAGAGACGGCAGGAGCAGGTCAGGAGGATGGTGTCAGGGAGGAGGGTATGTGAGCTAGGAAGAAGGAAGGGGAGGGAAGGGAGAACGTAGGGGTAACTGCCTCTTGTATAGTACAAGTCATGACATGGTGAAGCCTGATGCTCTGAGAGGAACGCAGAGGACTAACTAAGCTACTTCTCATCCATGCGCCCAACGGCAATGGAGCGACACCTTGCTGACTGATGTCTCACGACGCTGATGCCCCTCTTTCTTGCCTGCCTGCCATGCTGCTCTCGACGTCTGTGCCCTCAGCAGACCTCCTCCACCTTCCCACGCTCCTCCAGTGCCTGCCCCTGACCGCCCAGACGATGCAAGGGATGCTCGGGCGAGTCGTAGCCCGGACGAGACATACGGCGGGGAGACCTTGAGGGTGAGCTTCAGCTTCAGCTTTATCTTGAGCTTGAGCTTTAACTACAGCCTCGAGCATGGGGCCTACATCCGCCTCGGCGCATCGTCGGTGGGGGCTGGGGAGAGCAGCTTCTGATGCTGTCGAGGCTTGCTTGGGCTAGAGCGTGTGGGTCTGCCTCCAGGCCATGCAGCCAGGAGTACTCGTCGCTGCCCGCATCAGGGTCGACAGGCTCAGAGGCTGACGTGCCTGGTAGCCGTTGTGATGATGTGGATAGTGCTGCTCAAGCTGATGCGTCAGGCTTTGAGCTTGAGAGCTCGAGCCCTTAGGCCCGTCTGCTCTCATCCTCTATCTCTCAGAGGAAGCGGGTCGAGCAAGCAGCAACGCCTGCTGACATGATTGTATATCTTCTTCTCTTCCTCGTTCCTTGTGCTTGACTGGCTGCTGGTCCATGCTGCTAGTCCCTCTTCCGGCTCGGATGCGGACGCCCTCGTCCTCTCCTGCCTCTCTCACTGCCGGCCTGCCATGGCGCCCTCGACGTCTGTCGGCACCAAGCGGACGAGCGCTATCTCTCAGAGCATCAGCTTCACCATGTCATGACTTGTATTACACAAGAGAGAGTTACTCCTACGGTCTCCCTTCCCTCCTTGATATCTTGTCGTGCTGTGGCTTTCCTGCTGACCAGATCTATGCCTCTCTTGAGGCTCCATCCGTCAACCAACACAAGCACCCTTAGCCCGCTTGCGGCTCCAGCCACAGTCTGCCCTCCCTACCTCCCTCCTCTCCTCTCGTC